CGGGGGGTTTTGAGGAGTGTAAAGAACATATTTTTTAAAAACCCAATTTTTTTAAAAAAGAAATAAAAAAAAAAAAAAAAAAAAAAAAAAAAAATTGTTCAACAAACGGATATAAAGGCTGGAATTCCCACATACTTCTTGCATCTTCCATGCCTTTCACAGCGAGACAGCGGCACTTTGACCACACAGGAGGTGAAAGCCACCCACAGAGCGTTACTCTTGCTGTCTATCTGCATCCCGATGATGCGCTTGTCTTCCACGCCATCTATACTGCACCTAGAAAAGCCAAAAGAGAGGGTCAAATGTTTGATTTATATTTTAATGCAATGAAAAAGACCAAAGAGAGGTCAGGACAACACAATAAGATTAAGAGGGGATTTAAGAGTTAGTTTCAAGAACAAAGTACGCAGATTAAGATGCAGCAGACAGATGAACTGTGGGCTCAGCAAGAAAACGGATAATGCTAGCCGAGTGTACACGAGGTCAGGAGCAGAGTGGGAGATAAAGAGAGATAAGAAAAAAGGGTGATACGGATACAACAGATAAACAGACAGATGGGCGCTGTGAGCAGTCAGCAGCACTTAAGTGTAAAATCCACCAACAGTAACTCAAGCCCATCCATCCCTTCCGCACGCGACCACTCCTCCACCCCCGTTAGCCGACTTTGTCTCCACTGCCCTGCAGGAGCACGCTCTAATCCCTCTGGGGTGTGTCGAGCATCCTTCTATCCTGTCTTTCCCTCCGTCCTGGCATCCCGCTTCTGGGATTTAATCTCCTGTTCACAGAGCTCTGGTCCTGCATTATCGCTCGCAATTAGGGCTTAGAGTCCATCTACACTGGGTAATGCACAACAATCGGGCCTGCGTTGATCTAGCTGGCCAGGCAGGGAGGCAAAGTCACTTACTGTACACGACTGAAGCCAGATGGCCAGCAGCCGGCGAATGCTCTGCTGCAGCCAGCAGGAGAGAGGGGGGAGAAGGAAGGGAGCTAGAGGGAGAGGAAGAGACACGGAAACGAGGAAGGACCTTCATCTCCTTCACATGGTCTCTGAATGCAAAAGTGTTGACCTTTTTTCAACACTAACCTTTGTAACAAAATCAAAGTCTAGTGTTTTTAATTGGGACTTGTGGAGTGAAAGGTGGAAAGTGTTTTAAAAATTTGGATTTACCCCTTTTCCAGATTACTTCATTTGAAGTTCCACATAGCGCTCTAACTAAACCCGCAAGTCTTCCAGATTTGCACCACCAGCTCAAACTCACTGAAAACAATTTACGTAAAAATTAATTCTCAAGATTCCTAATTGTTTTTAGTACGGACTTTGACTGTCTCATTCTGGGCCAAAAGTTTTATTTTATTCTCCTTTGACCAAACTGTGAATTGCATTTCTTATGACTTTCTTCATGTGACTTTAATAGTCATTCAGTCAAAAGATTCTCCCACCTCAGCTGTGGATCTTTCAGATGTTCAAATTCAAGTCAATTCAAAAACACTATTTTGATCCCAAAAGGAAACTGAACCAAGATGTTCAAAGCTTAGAATATTGTTTTCTAATTGACGATTGCTGCACTGACTTGTCTGCTCCTTAATCTTCATGACACTGTTTGCTGTACAAAATTCAGACAAATTTTTAACCTAAATGCACTGAAATAATTTCAAAATGCCTGGCATTTTCCATGAACATCTTGCAAAAGGAGTCTATCTTCATCAACCGTCTGTGCTGACATAGAAAATTTGTAATATTTTAAAATCGCAGTCGGGGTTCAGAAAAAAAATCTTTCCAACGGCCGCAAACAGCCCCACGGCCACACTTTGGTACTTATTATGCTCTAACCCTTCAGTTTCTCGTCTTTGGTTTTCATGACTGTTTTCTCTCTCCTGTGTCCGTACTGCCACCCCCCCTCTCATTCATTACCTCTCAACCAAATATTTGCTCTGGCAGGACTGCACTGCATCAGATTTTATTTTTTTTTTTTTTCTATTGCACGACAGCTCTCTGTTCACCGTTCTCAGCAAAGTTTGGGGTTAGAAAGGCTCATCTATACAGCACAATCCTACAAAGATGTGATAAATTAGCGGGACATCCGATGCTGGCTCTGAAGACAAACGCGGCCCTCTGCCTGAGCATGTACGTGTGTGTTTCCTTTAATCAGCCGGCATTTTGGAAAGAACTCGGCTCCAATGCGGTTGGGAACCGCACTCCAATGCTATCCAGAGCTTTAGTGTCTGTGTCTTTAATTTAGAAGCTGTGGTTAGGCAAAGTGTAACTTGATAAAACTCCTTTAAATGATAGAGTAGCCATCTGGGTGACTGGCTTCACTTCAGAGCTTGGGTCGGGGGAACCGGCGGGTAGCGGTGGAGCTAGTGGGTTGGCTGACTTGATCGATGGTAGAACAGCAGAATGAAACACTTCTGAATCACTTAACACACACATACAGAGATTAGGGAGAAAAAAAAACTGGCCCTCTTTTGTTTGTGGCAACTGTATCCATGTGTTCCCTCTATTGGACACACATGCTCACAAAGCTACGTACTTGTCCGGATTGTAGACGTTGAGCTCCTCGAGGAACAGGCTGTCGTTCAGGAAGCCTTTGTTCATTTTGGCCAGAAATTTCAGGATGATGCCCTTCTCGGATCCCAGGAACACGACCGTGTGGTTCCTGTGGGGGCCCGCCTCGTTGTCCACCACGATCCGCGTCAGGCGATACCTGGAAGAAGGATTACCGGGTAAAGTAAATCAACCAATCAGTTGATTAGTGCAATTTGCAAACACACATAACGATGTTTGAAAGAGCAATAAATGTTGACGCACATCAAGTAAATGTTTTGAGGTGAAGTCCAGATAATAACTGCAGAGCCAATCAGTTAATCACTTAATGGGCTTTTCATTGTGTATATCAAGTGTCTAAAAAAGACAACAGAGCAGGAGGGGGCTGTTATCTTGTTAATTAAATGTTATTTTATATTCATCAGACTGTCATAATGCCTGTAGGGGGTTAAAGGGAGAACAAAAACATGACATCAAAGTGTCTCAAGCACCCGGAAACAAGCACACATTTATGTTCTAATTGCTGAAGTTGAGACTATTTGACTCTGAACCTCGTCCATTTAATCTGTTAGAGCAACAACAGTACAGATTAGCTCCTGCAAAAATACCTTTTCTTTTTATGAGTCAAATCTCTGTTTTTAAGTTCAGGGACAAATAAATATTCTCCTCAACAAAAAGGAGAATAATTGCACATTGGTTTATGTATTTTAATATATAATGTGGAGAATATATGTTCTCCACATTGGAGATTGCATCTATTGGATCGGATTTGTTATGGCAACAGGGGCTGTTTTCAAAGGTTATGCAATAAATGTGGTTTTTGTTGCACTTCATTGTTTCTGGTATATATGGCAATATATATGATTTATTTTTCAGAATAATAATTGTATTGTACTTACAATTATACCAAATGTGGTGATAACTCCGAAACAAAATATGAAAAATGTCTGTTTTTCTGCTTCAGTGTACCATGGCGTTTCCCTGGTGGTAGCAGTGGGATTTCAACCCATTCCCTGTATTACAGTACCATTCCTAGATGGTAACAAGGTTCACCAAAAACAGCCCAGATAGCTCAAAGTTGTTTTAATGAGATGTCAGTGAAGGTTCTGGAATGACTGAACATTTTTCTTCATGTATAGGGCATACAGGAAGCACAGCACTGCCCCTCACAAAACTGTTGTTGTACACATTTGTCAGCTGCCAGAAATAGCACTACTATTTCTATAAGGGGAAAAAAGAAATATGAATTTAGATTTTCTGGCTGCTAAAAGCAACCACAGTATTGCTTTAGTATTGCAGTGTTAGACGGACATCTCTTGAATGAGTTTGTGAAAACTACTACAAAATGTATGTATAAAATATAAAAAAAATAAAGTGTTTATTATTACCAGATTATTTTCATAACTCTACTACTTAAGTAGTATAAGTACAAGGTTTATATGTTAAATTTGATATTAGAAAAAGAAGCTGCCTGATTGATCCTGAAGTAAAATAATTTGTTATACACTGTCTTAAATATTTCTGTAAATACAATGATATTGTGAAAGTGGGGTATTTTTACTCAAAAATGACTCAATCCACATCTAGTAGAAATAAAAATTCTAAATTTTCTCACCTTTACTTTGATGTTGATACCTGGCTTGTTTTACTTTGCATTCTTTTGCATATCTGCTGGAACTCCTGCACCATGCACCTATAAATTTATTACCACGGCTTTATATAATTTGATAACCAGGCTGCTTTCATTTTTGACGGGTTGTTGAAAGATTTTACTGCAACTTAAAGCCATTAAAATTGCATATATAACCAAGACGTGCTTGTCAAATATTACAGCGATGATTCAATAATAACTTCAATTATGTACCGTCATGCAAATTCTCTGTTTATACTGAGGAAGATTCACTCGCATCGAGATGTCGAAAGCTTGAAACTGAAAGAAAAGCTGACTGTATGACATAAATTTGACTGGCAATTATCATGGTAATGCATGTCATCCTGATGCAGTTGATCACAACTTTATTCCCGACACACATGTTCTATACAACTCTGCAATTGACACATATATTTCAGAGGCGTTAAAGTACTGGATGTTCCACTAATTCCAGGTTATTTTCTTATATTTATGTCTTGCATGCCACACATTTCAGACATGTGGAACATGTTTTTTTTTTTTGTTTTTTTTTTAATATAGCAAGACTTATTGTAAAGCACATGGAGTTTATCTGCTGAGATTGGGGCTTTTCAATTTAATTAAATCTATTTCAATCAGAAGGAACTGACACAGCTGAGTGTTGGTTTACACCCCAGCCTGATTAAAGTGTCAAGATATAAGATATGGAGGAAGCTTTGTGATTTAGCTTTACTGTATTTCGGGCCTCTTTGTGGCATCTTGTATCCATACAGCCTGAGGTTGTTCCGTTTGTTCTCTAAAGTTAAGGGGTTGTTGCTAACTGGATTGGAGAATGTTTCGAGATGGACGCTTCAAAAACACAGATTAAGGCTTTAGGGGTTAATAGAACTAGATTGGATTTAAAGATTACCGATGAAAGCTTATCCGGAAATCTAGGAAGTCCACAATTGCCGTCATTAATGTTGACTGAGTGTTCCTTGTGTAAAATCAGTTTAAAAGTGATGCACAAATGTTCCTCTAAAGATATAATTTACTTGAAAAAGCACTAACCTACTCCTGCTTGCTTAAAGTTTCCCCTAAAATGGTCAGTGCCAATTCACAAAGCCAAAAATATGAAGTTATTAGGTTTTGATTCATTCAGTCTTAACAGGAGCTCCAAAGGGTATGAAATTAGGGTTTTAACTCACTAAAATAATACAATCTCAGTGAATAAGGCAAGGTCTGTCTTTCCTATTTTGATCCAGATAACAAAAATCACAGCGAGTGTAATTGTTCAGCATGTGTCTCCTTCTTTGAAGTGATTGACTGCGTCCAACTAGCTGAGCTCCCTGCCAAAACGCTGCAAATCTCGAGATAAAACAAAAAAAAAAGCGTCTTCATATTGAGCAGAAAGCCTATACTTGATATTCGGGTGTCCTCTCTGGGGTGTGACAAGGATCAAATCCTATTACTGATTTCATTTCCAGTTGACTTCAGCTCAAAATAGTAATCCACAATAAAACCCCAACAGGGGTTTTTATATCCACTCCACATGCCTTTGTGATACTTTTCAAGCTTAAATAATTCTTTCAGCAATTGGCCCGCATGTTAATCGACATGTTCTGCTGATTGGGGTGATATTTCAAATCAGAAACACTAATGAGCTCTTTCATGCTAAACTGTTTATATTGTAACAGAGACAACACAGCAACTCGGGTCTGATATGCCAAAATAAAAGCTTTTATCAAGGAATATTGATAAAATATTCCTTGCCCGCCACTGAGGCATGTCATGGATGTGCCCAGAACTGCTAACTCCAGAGCAGCTTTAGGTAAGAAGAAGAAATGTGAGGATATAATTATTTTCATTAGGAATATGTTGAAGTGCTGGAGTTCAGCTTAAAAGAGTAAGGATTTTTCCACCTAACCAGTTCCAGACCTAAACGGAGGTCAGTGCACCACTAAAGCGCCGCTGCTTGCATTGAAAATCCAGTGCTATCTTGGCACCATCTCTTAGCTGGACCTGAAGAAAAATCTGCCTTTATTGGGGCTGGAGACCAACAGTCTGCATGAGTTTTAAACATTACATTACATGTGAGGTAGTTTTTTTTTTTTATTTAGACCAGAACAATAAAAAAATACGGCAATTCTGTTCATTATCTGTCATCTTTATGGGTTTTTAGGTGGTTTTGAATAGTCTGGAATATCATTTAAACATTTTCCAGGTCTGGATGAGTATGTATGTGACAAGCCTGAAAGGAATATTTAGTTTCCAGGACAGACCTGTTTAAAAGGTCTGTCCATTCATACAATATGAGCTGTTTAAATGTTTCCTTATCATCTAGTTAGTGTACCAGATGGACTTTTAACTGATTTTATAAATGCTGTTTGCAGCTCTTCAGGCTTATAACAATTAAAGATCTAAAATGCTGGTCTTTGTTGCCAAACAACGATAATCAGACTGTCACTTAAAACAGCCATTATATGTTAGACTGATAACATTAAGATGTCGGTTTGCTGGGATGACGAGAAAAGAAACTGTCTCCCTGCAGTGCAGTCATCTACAGAGATACAAAAAAAACAAGTCAGTCATTCACAGGAAGTGGTGATATAACTTTGTCTTCTAAGAACAAATCAGTTCTTAAGTATTGATCTAAAGATTCAGTTGGATGTAAACCACTTGAAACGTGTGTTTGATAAAATCTTTTGTGCATAGCTTAAAAAAAATCAAATAAACCTTTAAGATCAAACAACAAGCATCATGGTGCAGTAGGTTTTAGGAAACCTTCAGGGCACAGGGGGAAAAGCCACATTAACTAAAAAGAAGTCTGCTCTCCAGTGTACTGTCTGGGGAAGCTTCAAGTCAAGAGAGGGAAAAAAATGTCTTTAATAAGACCTTATAGATGTTTTCAATGAGCTAAGGATCAAGATAAACACCAGTGAGTATCTTAAATACTCACTCCAAAGATTACTACTCTGTTGTGTAGGGGGAAAAAGATAGCAAGGTCTGAATTAGCGTTTCCTCCACTCCAAGAAAAATAGGTCAGTTGCGGGTTTGTGATGGAGCACTACTGTCTTTTAATGAGTCTAACTCTCTGAGCAGCACTTCAGATAATTGCCAGCCTGGGCTGAAGAGGCTCACGGACCTCTGACGACGGCGGGCTTTTTGGAGTGCAAGGTACTCACCGCACCATGGTCTTGAGAAACCAGGGCCTGTGGGCGATAGAGGGCACAGCCTCGTCCATCAGGGGATGCATCTTGATGAAGTTCAGAGTGTCGTCAGGGAACTCATTGGATACCTTGTACCTCTCCATGGATGGAGTGCCGGCACAGCTGCCAGGTCTGCAAATGCAGTGGAGGGAGAGGACGATAACAAAATGTGAGAAACGGGGAAAGAAAAGTGTCATAAGGAGGAAACGTTTAAATGGAAAAAAACTGTTTAAAACGAGAAGCCGCCAGAAGACAGAAAGTCTAATTCCCTTAAAATCAATAAGACTGAAGTCATAAATGGCTAAACACTTATTCCTAGAGCCTTCGGTCAAACAGGAGGACACATGATGTCTTCTTTTCTGAGTTTGGGGTAATGCACTGAGACATTCTATCAGTGTGATCCGTTTACAGGAGCTGGTAAAAAAGAAGCTGCTTTTGATAGCATATCCTCTTTGCAGGCATGTCGCCTCGGAGAGCTTGTAAAACCTCTTTACAGTGCGCTCTTTGATACCCTTTCACAGCACATAACACACACCAGGTCCCTGAAATGTCAGACAGCTGGCCTTGCACTGTAGATACGTAAAAGACCAAGCCTTAAAATACACATTTGAGCGTCGTCCAGAGAAATAGCTTTAAGATGCGCATATGTGGTGCTGCTGGTAGAGACATTTCAGTCAGATTTGCTCCGTTTTCCCACTTTTTCTTTCCCGTTTGAGAACTGGAAGTAATTTTACGAAAGCATATGTGGTTTGACTCGGATGGTGAGGCCTCCTCCCAACATCCCGGGACGACCCTTCAAATGGGTTCACAAAACTGTGGCTAAATCTGAAAGTTTTTAAATACAAACGAGATCCTGCAGAATGTGAGAGAGCTGCGGATAAACCAAGAACTGTTAATGTTAGTGAATTGGCTGATTTTCAGCTTTGTGGTCCTGACCAATCTGAAGGATTTTTCAACCTCATTAGGCAGTCAAGAGGAAGCTCTAAAGGCGAAAGGATCTATGTAAAATATCTTTTTGCTATGGAGGTATATCACCTCTTCAGGCTGAAACAGGACCTGTAGCAAGATGTAAAAAGGCTAAATTTGCTTTGTTTTATCCTGTTGAGCTTTCAAACTTTGCCTATCATGGTGAACATCCTGAATGATTTGTAAATATCAGATTATCTGGTAAGAATCAACATTCCTTGAAGTCAAGATGTTAAAGGCAAGTGGAAATGTGCAGTCTTTTTTTTTAATTAATCTATTTTTAAATGATAAAATCTGCCTGATTAGCAACTTCTTTACAATGTAAAAATACTTTGAATTCCTACATAAACATCAGCAGATTAAAGCTTTTCAAGAACCAAATGTGGGAAACTGGCTACAAAACTTTGATCATTGACTTCCTGCTAAAAGAAAACACATTTAACTGTAAAATCCTGAGCCTAAAGTGGATTCCCAAATCTATGAGGCCGCTGAAATAAGCTACAGAATAATATCTGCTGTTAGTTTGCAGGGTATGCACACACACACATGCACGCATATGGACGGCAGAACCGAAACAGACATGTATTAAATATGAAAATCTGTAAATGATTGGGTTTGGGAGTCTAGCACATGGAGGAACAGACTGCCACAGGACCGGACCTTGGTGGCATTGTTGCAGCTCTCCATCTGCTTGCCTGTAGATAAAAAGGGTCTGAATGCGGCAGAGAGCAGAAATTTAATCAATCCCATCAATTACTGCAGTAAGCAAATGTGAGCATATCTGCTTCTAGAAATGTCTGACCTCACTCAGGGTAAACAAGTCGTTATATACACTAATCAAGGTAAAAAGGGTGAACTCACTCATGTACATTCATTTATGCATTAAATTAGCAATGTAGAGCTTGTGTTTTGTAGAAGAATCAAATCCCCTGGCTTTAAGTGAGGACCTATACACCCACCAACAATTATCGTAGCCCAGATCTTTGTAGTGAATCTGTTTTTTTTTTCCTTCCCTCCAGGAAATAAGAAAAACTCTCAGTGCTCTAATTAACAAGAGATAGATGGGAGATTGATCAGGTCGGTACATTTGTGGAATTAGCCAGCCATATTTAAAATGATCTCATGCTTCATTTGCTGATGCTTATGAAACTGCGGGTGGGGAGCAGGGGAGCTAATGTGTGCAACTATGAAAAAAAGATTGTGTTTATGTGATTGAGAGCGGATGTATGCTCAGTATTTTGCAAAAGTTTTCAAATCTCTTGGACTTTTCATCAAATTACAAGGAGAAACATAAATTTTTATCAGGGTTTCATGTGGTGGATCAACATAAAATAGCACAAAAAAAGAAGGTAAACACAGACAGTTTTCAAGTAAAATAAAATTATTATTCTGCTGATGCCCCAAAATAAAGAACACTTCTGATCAGCCTGAACACACCTTCCATGATGAAAGATGGTGGTGGTAAAAAAATGCTTTTCTACTGCAGGGACAGGAAAAAAATATCATAGTAAGTGGCAAGATGGACAAAACCTAATTCTGGGGAAAACCTCAAAGACCTGAGACAAGATTGTTGTCCAGCAGGGCAGGACAACAAGCCTAAACATGGAGAGATTCTGTAGCAAGACCTGAAAAATTGATGTTGACACATGCTCTGCATCCAGCCTAACCCAGCTGGGTTGTTTTGTAAGGAAGGATGAGCAGAAAATGTCACTCTGGATGTGCAAAGCTGCTGGAGACATTCCTCAAAAGGTGTTTCTACGAAGACTCAGGGGGGCTGAATACACACGCACTCCACGGTTCTCAAACCTTTCTCAGAATTTTGAAAACCAGGAATCATTTTCCCTCCAGTTCACAATTATCAACTACTCCTTGTTGGTCTATCACATAAAAAGTATTCAAATAACCTGAACGTGAAATGGTTGAAGCATTGTGAATAGTTCTGCAAGGAATTGTAGATGATGTGCAGCAGATGTTCAAAAGAGATGATTAGAATAACAGAAGTGCAAGTAGGTGATTAGATAACAGTCATTTTCAGTTTTCTAAAGAAATGACTTGCGTGATTGAGAGCAGTTTTTGAGAGTAATGACAGAAAGACAGTCGATTCTGTATTTAATGCATTTGCCATGTGTGGGTGTGTGCGTGTGTGTGTGTTGCTTGTCTGTACCTTGGCTTGGGAACCCTCTCTTCAGGAAAAGGCGTCCAGGTGGAGTCTGGGGATTTCTGCTCTTTGAATCGCCCAGTGAAGGCGCGGGCCACCTCCGCCATGTCGTAGGCACACACTGCTGAACCTGGAATGCTGCCATAACACAAAAACACACACATTAAAGTAAGGAAACAATGCATAAACAAGCCACTGTCTGAACATTTCACAAGGAAACATCTTGCCAATTCTGGACTATCACTGAGAGACAGAGACATGGATTTACAATCCATTTACAGAGGCGTTTAAATCTCCTGCCTTGTTTTAAATTTCGAAGGAGAACTTGTTGCATTTCTAAAAGCAATCATTCTTCATAGCATTTCATACATAAAGTGGATATAAGAAGTCTACATCCCACTGTTTAGCACCAGTTTTGTGTCATTTGAAAACACTAGACCAATGTAAACGTTTTCAGATCCACCTTTAAACCTGCCCAACATTTCCCTGGAATCCTTTAGATGAGAACAAAAAAACACTTAAAAAATTAAATTACCAAAGTTAAACAAATGCAGGGTAGAAATATGATAAACCCCAAATGAAGTTTGGCTGATATTTTCTGACATCTTCTGGGTCACATCACACCTAAAACCATCAGAGACAGTCCATACCACAGGTCTCTATCAAAAGGCTCCAGTCAGGAGAAGGCTGCAAAACAATTTCCAATGAACCAAAACCAATTGGAGAAAATTATGGCTTCTGTAAATGTACATTTGGAGATTGAAAATCTGTGGTGTGAAAATGTTCTGAAATGGTTTATCTTGGTTTTTGCACCATAGAAACCTGATATTTTAACAAGTTTATTCAGGATTTTTAAAGTCTGCTGTAATAATTTTTTTTCTTTAATCGTTGGCCTACAGACTGGGTTTCCCCAAACTCCTTCCTTATGACATTGAAGTTCATTACAAATCCACTATTGAGCTCCATCCATGAACAACAAATAATTTTATTACTGCCTCTCTTTTTTTAAATGGGGAAAAGAATCGTCATCTTCAAATAGCGGCGCAGCAGCTGCCTTTGTGTGGAATCAATGCATAGCTGATCAGTGACTCATTTCTCTATTTCTTTATCCAACTGCATTCAAAAGTATAAGAAAAAAACTTGAGAGAATCCGTTTTTCCACCATTTTTCCTTGGTTGAATTTTCTCGGCGTTGCATCATGAGCTAAACTCGTCTCGTAGACATTGGGGAGACGAGAATACACAAGGGCAGCATTATAGAGAGCAAGGTCAGAAAGCTGTTAATTCTCTGCTCAGCTGCTAAATTACAGTAACTGCTGTCGCTATTGAATATGTGCAGAAAGCAGGACCATTATATTCATTTTTTTACCAGACAGCTGACGAGGAGGAGAGACTGAGAACGAGGTGGGCAGACAGACAAACTCGGAGTCTTGTCTGCACACTAATCTCACTCCCCAACTATGAAACAGAAAATGAATGCTGGAACCTTATAGAAATGTTTCAGAAGTGCCGCTTCATTGGGTTATAATGTTCATTAACCATGCTCAATTGCATTGTCACAAGTAATTGTCTTATCTGCTTAAAAAGCGGCCATAAAATAGAGAATTACAATATGTATGAGCTATCAGACGAGCTCTGTGCTTCTGTGGTAATTTTCAATTTAGATTAAAAACTCCCATGGCCCTCGAGAACAGTTAGAAACATGAAACAGAAACGGAAAATAAGATTTAAGGCCAGCAAGTCAAAAGGGCGGCGAGACTGTTTTGACAGGAGATGTAAATGTGTGCCCTGTAACGCTCAGAAAGTACGTGTCGCCGAGAGGCGCAGCAGCTCTACCGACGTTAATAAAGGTCAGGCTGTCAAAATGTTTTTAGAAAGTACTTCTAACTGAAAAAGATAACCAGGATAAGAGCTGGAACAATGAAAATCAGCTTCTGGCGTGTTCACACCGATCTGAGATGAGCCTCCTAGTTATTCAGGATACCTGTTGTAAGGCGTGGAGAAAGTGGCCATCACCACATCCCGCCCGTTGATGTGGATGACGTCCGTGACGGCCTGCAGGATGTTGAAGTAGAAGTGGGAATCCCCAGGGATGGAGCAGTTCAGGCGGGACTTTAGGAACGACGTCCACTGCTTCTCCAGGACGCGAGGAGAACCTCCGCGGTCATTCTTGCAAACCCTCGCCACCCGGGGAAACACCACCTGGTGGAGTCATACATTTAAAATCCTATGGCATCTTTGTCAGTCACATCTTAATTTCTAAGTGGTGTACATGGACACTTATAGGCATGTAAGAGTCATAATTAGCAGGTTTAAGTAAGAAGGAAACTGTGATTTGCACTGTTCATAACCAATTATGAACATTGATTATGAAGATAACCAATGTTACGGTTGGAACGGTTAGTAACAATAACCAATATTGGTTGTTATCCTATATTTGATTGAAGCACAATCCAATTCCTTCTACTTGTTCTCGTTCCACTAAGTGAGAAACTCGGTATTTTAGCATGAATAAAATAAGCATTATGTTTCCATAATACATAGTTGATTGAATTTTACAGGAAGAACCAGAAAAAAAATTTAAAATTTAAAAAATTATGCAGTGTTTGTGACACTTTGTCTTTTTTTTCTTGGTGAAACCTTTATAGCACACCCAGCTGAAGCTGCACATTGGATAACACTGGGAATAATTAGCTGTTCTTTTCAGCTCCTCTTTTGCAGTTTCACCATATAATTAGATTTTGAGAAAAAAAACATTGAGGATACTTGATCCCATGTCAGGTGAAGCTCGGGTCGATCCAAGCATTCATTAGAAAAGAGTGAGGTAGACTGGAAAGGATGGTTCCACAAATCAAAACCCTTTTACAGAAACTTCTGTCACAGATGAATAATTAGGTGCAGGATTAACTTGTACTGTATAGCCAAAAATATTCACTCAGCCCTCTATCATTTTACTCAGATGTTCTAACCACTCCCCTGGCTGCAGGTATGTGAAATCCAGCACTTTGGCATGCAAACTGCTTCTACAAACATTTGTGAATGGAGCTACTAATGCAACAGCAACGTACTAGATGATTTTATGTCTGACTTTATGGGCATTTCCCCAACAGTTCCAACAGGAACACCAGTGCACAAAGCAAAGTCCATGAGAATATGAGAACATAGGTGGAGAAACTTGACAAGCCTGCAGAGTCCTGACCTCAACCATGACAGCGCACTTTGAGATAAACTAGAGCAGAGACTCTGAGACCAGCCTTCTTGTCCACCATCAGTGTCAAAGCTGATGTTGGACAAGACATGTTGGACATGTCCTTTTCTGGAGGAACAATCAAACATCAGCATAAACTGACTTGTAAGTCCTATAAGCATCTTTCCTTGAAGAATTGAAGATGTTGTAACTGTTAAGGTGTTCCAATGACATATTAAAATTATTTGTATTAAAAATGGGATGTAATGAAACGTAACCTAAAACTATTAGCAGTATAGTGCTATAGTTACATGTTTCCTTATCTATTGTGGTCCTTAAATCAAAAAGAAATGGAAAATTTTAACTAGAAAGTATTTATCATTTTCAACAAGAGTATTTTAGAGATTCCTTCAGAAAAAACTGGCAAGAGGAGGAATATTGAACAAGGAAACAGCTTCGGCGTAATTAGTCAGTGAAATTCAAGAGGCCTTCCAAAGCATTATTGTTATTGACATGACAGACAGAATGGAAAATTCATTTAAGACACCGAGCATAAATATTTATTTTATACCGTATTTGGTGTTTCTGCCCCTTAAAGAACCCAATATACACCGTGATGAAAACTCTTCTAATGATAGCCACATCTTAGCCTGGTGTTTCATTGCAGTAAATTGGTGTGCCATATGTTTAGTTAGTCAGCACCTGGCAACAGAAAGTTTTAACCATACAGCATTAAATAGGAGCCAAAAACTGTAATTACAGCTGTACTGTTAGATTTGGTAGCCAGTGTTGTAATTAGCTGTTGTCACACTATAGTTAACAGCTATAACTCCAACCATGGCCCGAAATTGACAGTGTGAACGGGTGCAAACATGCATTTAAACCAGATCCTTAAACGCGCACACACACACACACACACACACACACTCACGGCTATGCAAACACCAGAACCCTCCGTTCTCACATTGACCCACATACAGATATATGAATGAGAGATTTGGCCGTGCAGCGAGCCTCACCCAGGGCTGCTTCAGTGTGTGGCAACAGAAAATGCTGAACAGGTGAGAGTGTCAAGCTGAAGGTTGCATTATTCCAGATTTACATCCTAATTTGTTCACCCCAAGCCTATATCGATGTTAAGAAATATATTTCCTTTTGTTTTATTTTATTCCTCCACAGCAGATTTATCAGTTGTGCCACGTTGCACAAGCGATTCTTTACATTGTCAGAGAAGGCCATTCTGTTGGGAAATAATGGGGAGATATCATCCACTGAATGTTAAATTGCTCTCTGCTCCATCAGATCTCCCACCACTTGCATAATTACACTGACGCTGCTTTCAAAACACCCAGCAGATTGAGAGGCTCGATCTGTATTCATGCTCTATATAACACATGGCTGTCGTTTCTGGCACTGAATCCATTACTTCTGTGTTTTGCATCGCCTCAGATCTGCTCTCATACCGTTCTCTCTTATATTCCCTTTAATTTATTCAGCAAAGTACATGCTCGTCTTCACTTCTACCTGCTGCTTCGTTAAACTCTCTCATTGCTTGATCCAAAACTGAAATGAGATGATTAGAGAAGAAATTTCTCGTCCCGCTGGTGTAATACCCCAAGAAAAATCTCCTGCTGCTGTTTCTTCTTCACCAGCCTTTTCCTGTTCCCCTCCAAGTTTTTACTCTGCGGCGCTTGGGAGGAATTTCTCATGGGAAACATTGAGACAAGATGTCAAACAGGAGCACTGCAGAACAGATGCGGACGTGCAATAGGAGGGATATATTTAGCCTCCAAAATAGATCTTCCAGACATCGATAGATTTTGTTTTTTCTGGTTCTATTTTAAGTTCTGTATCCTGTCCGTTGTTTCTAAAATATGTTCTTGCCACTTAGCAACTCCTGAAAGCCTCCTTCCCAATATGTGATACACCCATATCCTGTTGGCCTCCCCAGGCGCTTCCTCATTCTCCCAGTAAATAGGAAGTCACCTCTGATTAGAGTTCAAACAATAACAGAAGAACTGGGCTTGTGCTTACCTTTCCCATTGTGTTGTACTCCATTGCAATTTCCCGAAAGAAGAAATAGATGAAGTCTCCGTAATTGACTGCCTGGACAAAGTACGGTTCTGCAGGGGAGCAAAAGAGGAAAAGAAAAGAAGTCAAAGTGATGTTTTGCCACGACAGAATAGTTCTGACACCATATTTCACAGCAAACAGAATATCTGTCGTATTATGCGGAGAAGCAGCGATCGTCGGTCTTGAGAGCCTCACTCTATTATCCTTTATGCGAGCAAAACAATTTGCATGTGAGAAAAGACTGCCTCCCTTTTGGGTTTTGACAGACTGGACTGGTGCTTGTTTCACCCTGGGGGCAGAACAATTTCAGTCGGAGCAGGATGGCAAAATGGATCAACTTCAAGCAGAATGAGGAGTATCTGCATAAGTGGTTCTGCACTGATCTAGTGTCAGACCTGCAGGAACAAGGTTCTGATGATACGATAAACCTGAGCAAAGATACAGCAGTTTCATGGCATGCATACGAATACTCAACACAGGTTATTGTTGAAAATGAGAATTTTGTTCTCAATCAGCTTACCTGTTTAAATGAATGTTAGATAATGAAGAAAAAAATATATATAAAAGACAGCCACATATTTTTTAACGTAAAAATAAAAGAAATCATCCCAATCATATCAATGGGATATACTGATATATGAAACCTGCTTATGCCAATTCTGCAGTTTCAACACACATGGTGATGCATCTTTGAAAACATTTTTTTTTTTTTTGCCAGCAACAAGTGAGTTCCCATGTCCTCAACTCACCTTTCAGCCACTTGGAGTCGTGTTTGACAGTGCGAAGAGTCGGGCTGTCGCCAAGACTACGATAGATGACCGCATCGATCGCTAGGAAGTCTGTTACGGTGGCTGAGTACAGCTTGCCGTCTGGACAGGGAATGCAGAGGTAGAAAGTGCAATGAGGAGGAAAGATGGAGAAGAATAAAGAGAGCAAGACACAGAGAGCCATAAAGAAGAGAGGAAATAAAAAAGCATTCAGTAACAAAGAGATTCCTGCCCTCTGCGGTTGGATACACCAACATATTTCAGAGGCCTGAGACCTGGAAAATGGACGAGTCACACAAACTGAAGGAATTCCTCAACAAAACAACAAACAAAACTTAAACATGTTGCACATCTACGAATAAAATACAGAATCCCCACACTCCCTTGTTTAAGCCACAGTCACACACTTTCATGGACACGCAAACACACACGACTGCCCAAACACAATGCGCCACCAGAATGACCTCAGCCTGGCTTGGTCCTTACCACAGTGGAAACTCAAACGACATAATTGAAAGGATAGCAGAGAGAGGAACCCTTATGATTACTCAGAGCTTCCAGCTCTTTCCCAAGTAGCTCTGCTACATATTAACTGCTCCGGCTTGGCATCTACCATGTGTGCGAAACCAGAAGGGACAGATCATCAATAGTGTCATAAATCGGATGATAATAAATATGAACGAGGGTTGGATGTCTTTTGCAGCATGTGGGTCACATTCCACCAACAAAGAGGGTTGACTCATTCTGGTTTCCTCCTTTCATAAATCACATTCATATTGAAAGAAACTAAACAAGAAACAAAAGGAATAACAGAAAAGTCAGAGGCAAATTATTATTTCAGTTACCATAGTACTACTGATGCATTTTCAAAGACCCTAATAGGAAACAAATTTCAGGCTCGGAGGAAAAACAGAGGAATGTTTGGCGTTTTTCCTCTGATGCATGTTACACACACTAACTTTGCTTTACAAGATGTTGTCAGAATGTTCCTTAAAACCGCAGCGTATGAAAGACAATATTAAATACAACGGGAAAAAATCCATCACTCAAATACTCTCAACTTTCTAATTTGACTCAAAATGGCTTAAGTAACTACATCTAGAACTTCACGTGACAAGATGATGCTGTAAAATTTTCACTAGCAGTGCGGACTCACAAGTACCTAGCTAGTCCCTGAACCCCCACAGTGCTAAAAAAATCATTTATATTCTTGTTTTATACCGAGTACCCAAATTCAGGGACTGCAACCTTTAAAGGTTGCATTTGACTATGAAACGTATTAAGTAATAAAAAATTTAAAAAAAAACAATGTATTTGACAGCTTGTGTTTAGCACCTTCACCTAGGTTACAGGACGTACATCAAAGTAAAGGACTAAATCTGAAGCATAGACTATCCACTCACTTCCAGTCTTCGCGGTCAATTAAGGATCAACGAAGACGGAGTGCTTCAAAGGGTGACACACCCGAAAACTTTAGACACACCCGAAGTCTTTATTGCTCAACTTTCTCACCATAAACATCTAATTCAAGAACAACTTCCTTTATTACTTAAAATTGTCTTAGACAAATTGGGTGTCAAGCTAATAGCACATCCCTTCATATCCAGGCCCTTTGGTAAAAGCTTAGTTACTTCACAAACAGTCACATCCATACAGCAACTTGCTGACTCCAACCATTGATGAGAAACATTTTGTTAAATCTCTGGTGAACTGCATTATTGAACAGCTTGTTTTTTTAATGTCAACAGGATTTGTTGTTGAAGTGTCTGGTTGATTGACTTGCACAGAGAAATTGAGTCTTACCAGCAAAGAGTGCAACATTGGCATGCTTGGCATCATATGGACAGCGCGCCATCCCGCTGATCTCTTCTCCTAGAGCCTCCAAGGAGTCCATCTGCAGGACAAGAAACATCAGAAAGGTCAGGAGCAAATCAGAACTGTGTGGCATCAATAAGACCAGCTGCACTTTCTGGGAATCAAAAGGTCTTGACAGCCAGTTGGAGGTAATGATCTTAGAAAATGTTCTCAAAGACGACGGTAAAAAGAAAACATGTTATCATAGGGAGGGTGACTTGATGAAGAAAAAAATGTATTATCCAACCCAGCAGTGAGCTCATTTAACTAAATAACCTCTGGATGCCATCCTGGTGCCCTGCTGAGGTTTGTCAAAGCCGCACATGTGGGTGTATCTGGGAAGCTGTCACCAAGCGAGAAAAACAGAGACATTTTCTGCAAAGATGTCTCACAATAATGGTGAATGGATTTTTTTTTTTTCATTCTCCAACTGTGCTGATGTTGAAAAAGAGTTTTAGCTACCCTCAAGCTAGATCTTCATCCCAGGTCTAAGCATTTTTTTTTTGTTTTGCTGCGAAGCTGTAAAAAAAAAATTGTGTGAAGAAAAAATGTTGTGAGCAGGCAGCCTCAAGCAGAGGTTGTGAGAAGTTTTAGTAGTAGATTGTGTGATGGTGACTGTTTAGGCTGCATTCCCATGGTCATGTGCTGATACATCTTGTTTGGGAAGAACTTGTTAAAGATTTTTGAATATAAAAGGAGACCAATTCTGCTTCCTTGAATAAATTAAGAAAGGCTATCCAAAACATCTTCATTACTTTTTTAGTAAAAAAAAAAAAAATCATTCTCAGATAATGAGATTATGCCCGTTTTGTTGCTTTAGGACTCTCACTTTATGCAAATAAGCTACTGCTGGAAGCCACGCACCCCCCCCCCCAACTTAATGTTTACACTTTATACAACATTACATCTGAGTCAGACCCAGATTAACCCAGATGTACAACCAACAATGATGCAGCTATTGGTCAAGTGGATCTACATGAGGAGGGTGAACAGTAGGCTGTTTTCAAGAGAGTCCTTCCAGAAGTGATTCACACAAACTACAGTTTTCTTTGGCAATGTGGCCAGAATATTGCCATTAAAAATAACATGGCAAACTATAAATATATAGAATCATTATACATAAAGTGACATATTCTAAGCTTTTGTAATTTTGATGATTCTGGCTTACAGGCAGTGAAAATCCAAAATTCAGTGTCTCAGAAAAACATCATTAATGGAAACTCATCAGCTAATTAACTTAAAGGTTCCCTTAGCCTTTAACCGGTCTCTCTCTCTCTCTCTCTCTGGGTCAATAGGCTGCACAATCTGGGGGAAGGCTGTGGTCTTGACGGATGTCTAAAACAGCCACCAACATCCTTCACAAGGAGGGTAAGCCACAAAAGGTCATTGCTGAAGAAGCTGGAATTCATATTGGCACATTGACAGAAAGTTGAGTGGAAGGAAGAAATATGGTAGGGAAAAGATGCACCAGCAACAGGTAATGAGAGCAGGTCCAGCCACTCATTGAGTGCATATAAATGTAAATATTTTTTCAGAAGAATGCCATTTGTGCTTAAAACATCCGTGTTTTTTGTTGGTCTAATGTGATACTCTAATTACCCGAGACACTGAATTTTGTGTTTTATTTACTTCTTAGCTATATCCATTATAAATGAAAAAAAGTAAAAGCTTTTTACTCTATGAGTAATAAATCTTTCACTAGTGAGAGTGTCCAGTCTGGACTAGGGATGCCTGGGGATCCACCAGAATGACCCAGAGAACCCGAGAGGGAGGTTCAGGTTTCCTTTTTAAACCTTTTGTCCCTTGAAAGCTGATCTCAAATAGGTGGAAGGGAGTGGCTAAATGGATGTTATGGAAAATATTGGTATGGGCAGATATTTAGATGGCATCCTTTAAATAAGTAAAATATGTTATTTAGTATCTGTATTAGTTGTTTGTTAAATTAATCCTGTTATGTTGCCAATTCCAAATCTGTTTTATGTCATTTTCAAGGCACTGAAAATTAGCGCTTTCATTCTAGCCGACGATCTGTTGAAAATGGAATTAAGACAAGTTTTTCCAGTTTCGTTCCAGTGAAATTGGCAGAGCATGGCACATAATCAGACATGGATGAAAGGTCACCATCATCCCACCATGGGATAGCTTGTGCTGCCCAGCATGTCTCAGGATGCTCTCTTACTCTGGCTAATGACCAGAGGCGTGCAAACTCACAGATCAGAGAACATTTCACTTGCAGAGTTTACATTTCATAGTCATCTCTCTGCCTGTATCCTTCTTTCTATCTTGTTCTCAACACTTTCTTCACTTTCTCCACCGTCTCTTGACAAAGTCTTGGGGGGGGGGAAACGCCACAGCTCACTAGGGCTGAAAACTGCTTACGCCGCCCTTTCTGGTCTCGAAGCAGGTCATTTTGTCTTCTATTCCTGTCTCGGAGGAAACGGTTATCATCTGCCCACTAAAAAGGTCACACACTCACACACACACAAACCCCAGCGCAACGGTGGAAAAGCTTGCCAAAGAAATTGTTGAGGCTGATTTGGCAGGGAAAATTATAAGTGACCTTTTACAATAAACACAGAAGCACCAGCGGCATGCAGGGCATGACTCTCATTCCTTCTGTTTCTGCAGCAATTAAAGCAGGATAATATAGCAATGCAACACAGATGCAAATTGTTATAAGACAGGAAAGGCTGCAATTATGGATTAGACAGATCGGAGCAGACTTGAGTAGCTGAAGGTCAGGTGTAGCTGCTGAATCTGAGTGCAACGTCAGCATTTTCTGTCGTCTACGCAACATAAGCACCCCCTCCGTCTAACATATCACTCCACACGCCTTCCATCTTCTCAGATGATTCCACTAATGCAGTGACCTCTGTCCACTGGGCCTGGCCGGCTGTCACTAATCTGTTCCTGCCGTCCAAGCAAAGGAAGACACTCCCAGCCCCACTGCCGCAGATACGCATACGGCTCCAATCTCCTGTTGAGTTGGCATGTGTGGGGAAGCAACACCCTAACGCTCCCTCACATGGCGTTAGCCCTGTCAAAAGCAATATTCAGTGTTTTGAAATATGGCAGGCAGAAAAGGATAAACCTGCCACACTCCCACCACAACTTTTTTTTAAGCAGAGGGAAATTCAATATTTGAACTGGTTGAGAGAATTGTGTCATTTTCCCGCCATTAAGAAGACAAACATTATTATGCTGTCAACCCTACTGGCTGCGAAGAAGACAGACGGGTTTCAGCTTTGTGGAGACACCGTTCAGCATAATGAGAGCTTTGTCACATGTGGCATTAACAAAACACTCTTCTCTGGGGATCTAGTGCATTTTGGCAGGCTGAATGTACAGTAACCTTGGCTTAAGGTACAATGCATTTAGATGAATTAATTACCACAACAACTCATTTGTGTTTTCCATAGGCTTTATGCTAATTAATTAGACAAACACAACGTGGAGCCGGAGCATGCCCATCAGGAACGTTATAATTGGTTCTGAATTAAAAGTGAGGTTCTGATCCCACGTTTGTGTGGTTCCGTAAGGACGACGCATCAGATGTTATCAGGAGATTTCTTACTCAAAACAAATTTATGCTACTTGAAGCACCATGGGACTCAAATTGAATAGCTTAGTGAACTTTATTTTTACATTATTTGTTGACTGCACCAGTATGTAGTGTGCCAGAGTCGATATTGTTGCCACATTTAACTACAGATGTGCATAAATCCCTTCTAAGCCAAGCCTCAAGTCTTTGATGGGCAAGTCCAAGTCAAACGTTCAAGCCAAGCATTGAGTCTTTCTGGGGCAAGTCTTTGAGAGGTGAGTCCAAGTCATCTCAAGCCTTTAACTTGCTTCTTAAAGTCTTTGAGTAGAAAGTTCAAGTCGAGTTTTGCGTCTTTTGTGAGGCGAGTCCAAGATGCATGTCAATTCTTTGAGGATAAGTCCAAATTGGAGCAAGATCATAGTGATGCATATTAAAAAGCTACAGAAAATATGAGCAGATGGTAACAAATTATTAAAACTCACTGCCCAGAAACATCTTGGGTATTAAACTGAATGCACAGTTTGACAAAAATGATGTGCTTACACTGCTGCATTAGCTGTCTGAGCTCCAGTCTGTATACATACCAGCTTGCTTCCACCCATGATTACATTAAACAAAGATTGCCAATCAGACTTGAGTCCATGAGCTTAAGTCGAGTCTGAAGTCATGGTTTTACAAGTCAGGTTTGAAGTGCATGCCACCTAGTCTGACTAAAAAAACTGCACAGTTTGCGGTCATTACGTCAGCAGGTTGTTTTTCTGAGCTGGCACTTTATCATTTAATGGAAAACAGCAACGCTTCATGCTTCATGGACTATGTGCTGCACATTTCATGGGGTTTATTCACATTGGAATATGTCAGTGCCTTCCAAAATAATAAAAGTCCTCAGTAATTCATGACTATGACTTGGTTCTTAGAACCCCAAAAGTCCCCACTGTCTTACTCCACGCTTGCTGATTAATTTATAGATGGTTGACCTACTCTTTGCAGCTGGGTTAAGCCCCGGCAAATGTATACATATTTTTCCACCTGCAACAACGCTCTCCATCCATAAAGGTCAAGTGCACCAGTTCGCACCTGCCCTGGGAGAGGTGGTGCAATCTAAAAACAGAACATACTTCCCCAGGAGATTAATAGTCACGGCCCATTTTCCCGTAACCAGTTTCTGAGGAATAGGGGGATGAAAAATGTATGTTAACACATTTTGGACTAGAAATGGAAGCTAGAGTGTTTGTGGCTGTTAAAAAAAATCTTTTTTTACCCTGACTCATCAAAATCTTAACTTCTCTTGTCTGTTTGAGAGTTATTTTTGAACATATAGTGCATGTAAATGAGTCCTTTTGATGTAAAGTTACTTATAATTCTGCATTTTATTTATAATAGGATAGACTTTAGAGGGAAAAACAGGTAATAGTATGTTTTTCAACGACATCAAACGCTTGAGTGTGCACAAATAATTTCAAGTGCACTAAAATCAAGTCCAGGGCCCATCACCTGGG